TCGCAATAAGATATATTGAGGGTACTTATTTGGATAAAAAAATGCCCCATCTCTCAATTCGGAACAAGCAATACTCATTTACAAAATTTCATTGAAATTAGTTCTGTAGTTTAGGAGTTAGTGGTGGTCAAACAATGTGACACGTAATTTTTATATATAAAGGTTATGCATAAAATATTAATATGTAATATTTTGTTTTCTTTTTTACAGGATAAGTGTTACAAACGAGCACACAGTCCACCTGAAGGAATTTATTTATATTATATATTATATTATATTATATTATATTATATTATATATATTTATTTATTATTATATACTTATTCAATCACGAATCAAAATACAGATGCGTTTTCACTCCTGAGGACTAAGATGGAATGCCTTTCTTCCAGTAAAAAGGGTCTCCGGTTCTCTACATCTACACTCACCATACTAAACACAGCAGCGTTAAATTTCGAGAGAATGAGAAGAATGCATAGTATAAGGAGTAAGATAATTATTGTTGGATTTATTGTAATTAAAATATAAATAAATTTATAATAAACGCATGTACCGTCTCTCGTAGGCTAGATTCTATAGATGTATAACCTGTCGGAAATATCTGCGAACCTCGCTGGAATGCGCTTCCCCTCGCGCTTCCCCGCACCTCCGCCCGTTATCGTCTATCCAGTACCGTTGCCATCTCTCCATATTGCATGACGTCATCAAGCCAGGTTCGCAGATATTTCCGCCCGTTATCGTCTATCCAGTACCGTTGCCATCTCTCCATATTGCATGACGTCATCAAGCCAGGTTCGCAGATATTTCCGACAGGTTATATATGTTCGTCTCTTTCTAGTGTTTCTTTTTTTTAAATTTCTATTCAAATAATTTAAAATTAAAAATTTTGTACAACCGACTTCAATATAAATTATTAAAAATAACTCAAAAACTATTGGTCGGACCTTGATCAAATTTATATGGGCCCACATGTGAAGTACCAACTTTCAAATAAAAAAAGAATCATCTAGATCGGTTCACCCAGTAAAACGTTATGAGGTAACATAAAACATAACACATAAAAAAAAACATACAGTCGAATTGAGAACCGTCCCCTGTTTGAAGTCGGTAGAAAAATGGGTCAGTACGAGCGGGAAAGGGTCACGCCACACTCTCAAAGAATATCAGTGCATTAAATAGCACAATACTGCTGTTTCATATGGTTAGTGACGAGAATCATCTGTGGTTCCTTTAACCGTTATTACATCTCAGGATAATTTTAAAGGCGTAGGCGAAGTACCGTAAAAGGCGATGACCGATGAGCCATGTACTAGCGATGTAAGGGAATTCACATTCCATATCATCCCGTAGGTGTTTTAAGAGAGCTCAAGATTGTAAAAGGGATAGGTTAGGATAGGATAGGTATCTTTCTGATAATAACTCGAAATTATAAAAGTCAAGGTCAATATTTTTTATTTAATCTACAATAATTGTTTGAAACTCCTATCTTGAACGTCAAAATCTACAGCGATTCGTAAAAAAAAAATAAGAGAACAACCGACAAGAAATTTTTGGATTTTATTTACTAATAATAATTACTATAATTTTATTTACAATTACAACTTTTATAATAAAATAATAACATGCTGATGGTCAATAAACATTTTTAAAATGTCAATTTTAACAAAGCAATTTAGAGTGCAGTTGCGGAGAGCTATTTCCACACAACACTTCCTTGCTTTCGTTATTTGATATTGATACATTTTAGGGAAAGCTTTTAAAAAACAATTGTATAAAAGCTTTTACAAAAATTTACTTCGCAAATATCCGCGTTATAAAATAAAATGATGTGTCTTACCTAGTATGAAGAAGCACCTCCCGCCCTCCCTCAATTGCGTGCACTAACCCCGTCACCACTAATCCCAGCACCGCTACTCCCAACACCACTACACTAGGCAAGACACACCACTGACGATAATACGACACGTGTTTCGCCTCTACACGAGGCATCCTCAGGTGATATAGACTCTACGGTGGCTAACCGCTAAGGCTTAGCGGTTAGCCACCGTAGAGTCTATATCACCTGTTAAGCTAAGGCTTAGCGGTTAGCCACCGTAGAGTCTATATCACCTGTTAAGCTAAGGCTTAGCGGTTAGCCACCGTAGAGTCTATATCACCTGTTAAGCTAAGGCTTAGCGGTTAGCCACCGTAGAGTCTATATCACCTGTTAAGCTAAGGCTTAGCGGTTAGCCACCGTAGAGTCTATATCACCTGTTAAGCTAAGGCTTAGCGGTTAGCCACCGTAGAGTCTATATCACCTGTTAAGCTAAGGCTTAGCGGTTAGCCACCGTAGAGTCTATATCACCTGTTAAGCTAAGGCTTAGCGGTTAGCCACCGTAGAGTCTATATCACCTGTTAAGCTAAGGCTTAGCGGTTAGCCACCGTAGAGTCTATATCACCTGTTAAGCTAAGGCTTAGCGGTTAGCCACCGTAGAGTCTATATCACCTGTTAAGCTAAGGCTTAGCGGTTAGCCACCGTAGAGTCTATATCACCTGTTAAGCTAAGGCTTAGCGGTTAGCCACCGTAGAGTCTATATCACCTGTTAAGCTAAGGCTTAGCGGTTAGCCACCGTAGAGTCTATATCACCTGAGGATGCCTCGTGTAGAGGCGAAACACGTGTCGTATTATCGTCAGTGGTGTGTCTTGCCTAGTGTAGTGGTGTTGGGAGTAGCGGTGCTGGGATTAGTGGTGACGGGGTTAGTGCACGCAATTGAGGGAGGGCGGGAGGTGCTTCTTCATACTAGGTAAGACACATCATTTTATTTTATAACGCGGATATTTGCGAAGTAAATTTTTGTAAAAGCTTTTATATAATGGATTTCCGCAAAGTAACGCCTGATTCTATTAATTAAACAATTGTATCACGAGTGAGCGAGTGATTGTTGCACTTATATACACTTATATAATAGGAGTTACAACAACACTGTATTTCAAAGGAATATAGTGTTGTTATAATAAATGTTGTCTGTCTGTCTGTCCGTCCGGGCAAATCTTTGTAATGGCTGAACCGATAAAGAGCAATGCTAGGCTATATTTTATCCGAAAAAACAATGATTTAAAAACAAACCTTAAACTGGTAAAATAAATGGTCTTTGAGTCAAAACCGGGGCGGGACGACAGTTTTACAATATATCATTTACGACAAACGAGCACACAGTCCACCTGATGGTTTGGTTGCTGCGGCCTATAGAGATCTACATCTATCCTCTATTACAAATCAAAATGCAGATGCGCTGTCACCCTAAGACTAAGACTGAGACTAAGATGGAATGCCTCTTTTCCAGTAAAATGGGTCTCCGGTTCTCACTCGCCATACGAAACAGCAGCAATAAGCTGCTAAGCGTGGTCCTTCCCGGGGCGAGCCGACCCATTTGTGCTACAACTGTACTATTAATATAGCCGCAGCATGGCTCTACCACGTAAAAAAAATATTTATTAAATTATGTAGAGTACTTTAAATAAGCTGTAATAAATTAATGAATAAATATATAAATAAACAAGTTAAGAAAAATTATCTTTCCCTCTAATTTCTCTTCCTGCTTTCATGTCTTCGCCTGTGGCTTTATCACTGGTCTATCATTTAAATATTTTACTTTAATTACGTCATGTTTATTAACTTATATTTTAGATTTTAATATTGTTTTCATCCTTTATGATATTAACTTATTTTAATTTCCTTTTTGGGTTGTCTGGAAGAAGTTAGCGTATAACAATAAGACCGGCTTTTGTTTTAACCTGAGTTCAAAAAAGGAAGAGGTACTCAATGCAACTGTTCTTTTTCATGTGTGAACTTTTTTCTCGGTGCACCGATTTTGATGTTTTTTTTTTTATTTGAAAGATAATGCTTCTTATGTTGTTCCATGTGCATTTGATCAAGATCTGACTAGTATCTTTTGAGTTATCCTGAATAATGCGTATTTATTTGACTTGGACTACATTGATGATGTTCTCATTTTATTTATATTGAAGTCGGTTGTACAATATTTTTAATTTTACCACTTCTATACTCTATTTTTTTCTTGTTATGTTTTGTAAATATTGTATTGTACATAATTCCCTTTTTGTTCTCAGTGGTGACAACGCATCTGCATTAAGATTCTTAAATCGGATGGAATAGGAGGAAATTGACACAGGCGTGTAAACTACCTCGTTAGTGTATTGGTCGTAAGCGCGACTACTAATTACGTTGTCCCGGGTTCGAATTACGAGTCTAGTGTGTTTCTTATGGTGAGTGTAGAGAACCTCTTTTACTGAATAACATACCCATCTTAGTTCACATGGGTGACAAAGCATTTGCATTTTGATTCTTAATCGAGGATAGATGTCTACGGGCCACAACATCTACAAACAAGCTGACAGTACACCATCAGGTGGACTGTATGCTCGTTTTTCACCCTCATTCTATAAAAAGGAAACTATAAAATAAAATATGTTCTATTTAATGTAATTAAGTCAGGTGCAATACTCTTTTATAAAATTGTCTCGAAATAATAAAACGAAGGGTGCGTTAGGGTAAACACTCAAAATAATTAAATAAACCGTTCGCGTTATACATCCATAAATACCTACTAACATGTGTTCTTAACTGAACCAGACATGCAAAAAGGAGCCAAATAAACCATCACTTATTAAAAAAAACTCATTGAATACAACCCTCTGAAATAAGCATGAGAGCCGCATTACGGGAAGATAAAAATAATAATGCAGTAGTAACACATATCCATATATAGAGAAGCAGAAATCTCTCCATTTCGGTTTGATAAGCGTTATTCGTCATGGCGCGAAGTTAGCCGCAATTGCGCCAACCAATCGCGTTCCGTTTTGCGGACGCTGCGCGGAGGCGCAACCAGCCTCAAAAAACCCCACCGAGACGACCGGCTGATCAAATCTGCGAGTAGTGCTGCGAGAGACGCGTGTCGTCTAGTGTTATTGTAATTGTATTTAAAGTTTTTAAACAAATATGAGGGAAATCGTGCACATCCAGGCCGGCCAATGTGGCAACCAGATTGGAGCTAAAGTGAGTATTACTTGCGAGTTTTTTTTTTAAATTTATTAAATTTAAGTGCCAGCTGTGGTATGCTACCAATGACCATTAACGCCGAGTAATAACGGTTAACGGTTCGCACTCGCACATTGTGGAATTCGCTAGACGTGACTATTCTATTCTCTTAGATATGCATACACAAGTTTCCTTTTCATATTATAATTATATTATTATAATATCTATTTTCTTTGAGATATGTTGTATACAACCATTCATAGAATGAAAATAGAATTGAAATTTGAATTTTTCCCGCATGACCGCGCTACCAGTCACCAGTCGCGTAAAATGGGGTCGCCCAACCCCTAATTTTACGCATGCGCCAATAGTATAAACAAGAAGATTATATATTATTAATTAATAATGTAGGGAATGTCATCATATCTAAATATGGATATATGATTAACTATATTGTGTATTGTATAACTTTTATGTGTGGTAGAGCCATCCTGCAGCTATATTAGTAGTATAGTTGTAGCACGAATGGGTCGGCTCGACCGGGGAAGGACCACGCTCTCACAGAATACCAGTGTAAAATAGCAGCTTAATGCTGCTGTGTTTCGTATGGTGAGTGTAGAAAACCGAAGACACTTTAAATGGAAAAAAGGAATTCCATCTTAGTCCTCACAGGTGACAACGCATTTTGTTTCTTTATCGAGGATAGATGTATGTGTCTATGGGTCACAGTAACCACTTACCGTCAGGTGGACTGTGTGCTAGTTTGTCACCCTATCCTATAAAAAATAACTACACGATTAATAAAACTGATTCTACTAGAATTAATTATTTATCAAACTAGTTTTCCCTAAATGAGGCAAACAGAAATAGATATGAAGGCTGCCATGTAAAAACAAACTGGTTTTTAAATCCTTTTCCTACTGACATGTATCAGTTGTCCGATTTTATTTAAAATGCCTTTGATCGCGTAATATTTTCTCTCCTGATAGGTACATTCAAAATCTGCAGTCAGCACAATGCTCCAGTTAGCTTAGAAACTTAATAATTATTGACTTTCCAATAAAACCTTGCGGTGAGATTGTCTGACAATTAATTACATGCAATTTTCTTGCATCCGCTCTATTGGATGCTTTGATACGAATCTGCAGAAAGTTTAATTGCGTTACTGTTCACATTATCTTTTTATTATATCATTGTAATGACTTTATCTGTTCCATAAAAATTTCAAACTCTTAATACATTTATGATTGTGAAATGTTATCAGCGTTTTTATTTTTAAATACCAAAATCAATATCACCGTCATTATAGGGAAAACGTCACCAATTGTAGGCACATTTAGCGCGACAGAATTTAACTAGAACTGCTAATTCACGACATTTTATCAATTGAAGACATGAGTGGAAGAAGGTGATATGTCGCATTTTTGGATTTTAAACCTTAAATATTAACTAAATATTAATTATTATTATTAACATGCTTATATTTTGTTCCTTTAGTATTAACCACAAAAATCACAATATTTTCTCGCATTAGTTCAATCAAAAGTAAACATTATTGCTAAGAATTCCAATAACTTGCAAGACCTCCAATATGTGAGTCACACACATATTAAACGAGTCTCGGAATGCAATCGTGAGAAAGAGATGTAAGATGCAATTAGCACTTGATGCGGACAATCTGTGTCAACAATATTTTTTCAGACGTTTTTGTTTACGCAACATAAAGCGTTTTCTGTTCAAATCATTTTTCGAGGACAGAGTAATATAAAATAGAGGGCACGTCTCGCTACGGGCAATTTCATCGAATGATTAACGTACGAAACAATGGGATAAAAAATGTCGATGACTTCAGCGTTGTTTTCTACTCTGTTGACTTCGCATGTGGGTATAACAGATAAGTTGAAATAACATAGACAAAAACAATCGTAAATGTTTTCTATTCGCTTTTTATTGCGAAATATTCTTATCAGGTTTCTTCAACGTTTGACTGTGAAACTGAGCCGACTCCCGATAGATTAGCGGGGGCCATTGAACTTTCGGTCGTCGACCGACGGGCATTATGCATTTATAAATAACCACCATTGGCTCGCCATAGCGCAAAGTGCACTCTCGAGATACTAATTTAGAGAACTGTTGGGAAATCTCACATTTAGCCCGATTTATTTCAGCCCGTCCGCTTAAGAAGTCCATGGTTTCACCTGGTCCATTGTTAGTGATGTTTCTCACGCAACTTTCATGTCTGCGATTTATCTAGTTGCAAGGAAAGTCACCTTTCGCGCCACCATCGAACACCGATTGCCTTTCACTTTTTGTCATTATTAAAACCATTTCGATATTGAGTTTTTGACATGCCCGCTTGTTCGTTATCTCTTAGATATCATAATGACTTTATAAAAATACGGTAAACATTCGACTATGTTGAATACCTACTCGTTTAAATATTTATTTATCGAAACCCTGAACTAAAAGCCGATGTCCATATTAGTCACTTAGTCGTATATGGCGATGTCGTTCTCTCCGTACCCACACACCTCGCCTACAGCAGTATGACATCATGCCAGTGACTCTCAAGTACCGAATGAATTTTAATGCGAAGATCGGTCGCTAAGCGACCGCTCACTACTTACAAGTCTTTAGTTCCAAGTACGAGTCTGTTTTCATTGTTATGTACTGTCAAAAACACTATAGATATTTCGCTTTTACTTCCATTAGCGAAATTAGCACAACTTTCGTTATGTAAAGCTTATTCATACGAGAATATTCTGTGGTCGAAAGGTATGGTGACAATTTAGGTCATGGATGTTTTAAGAATTAATACTTGTCCTTTGAATATAAACGTGAGGTTATACATTATCTGCAAGTAAAGATAAACTAAGTTGAGACGATTGTGGGCGTCGCTCGTCGCCAAGGCAATACACATTTATACCTACATGTCTTGCGTAATCGACTACAGACGTCGTTTAAGACTGAATATATCCTGCCTTCAAACTACGGTTCATTGTGCTTTGTTGATGCGTCTTTATTCACGAGATGCACTTCTACGTTGTACACTCGGCTTATGGGAATAAATTACTAGACGGGACTGCTTTGTATAAATCCCCTTAAGTAGACTGTTTTACAACTGGTTTGAAAGCAACTTGGATGTAGTTGACGTTCGAGAAAGCGACGCGCTTTCGTGCGGGAATTTAAATAGACAAAACTGACGTTTAACGTTTTTGGGTCTGTTCTACTGGGGAAGGACCACGCTCTGACAGAATACCAGCGTAAAATAGTAGCTCCATGGGTGACAATGCATCTGCATTTTCATCTTTAATCGAGGACAAATGTAGATGTCTATGGGCCGCTGCATCTACGTACCATCAGCTGGAATGTGTGCTCGCTTATCACCCTTATACTGTATAAAAAAAGTTCGACGCTAGATTATTAACTATTCACCTCTTTTACAGTTCTGGGAGATCATCTCCGACGAGCACGGCATCGACCCCACCGGTGCCTACCATGGCGATTCTGACTTGCAGCTGGAACGCATCAACGTTTACTACAATGAGGCCTCCGGCGGCAAATACGTCCCCCGAGCTATCCTCGTCGACCTCGAGCCCGGCACCATGGACTCCGTGCGTTCAGGACCATTCGGACAGATCTTCCGCCCAGACAATTTCGTGTTCGGACAATCCGGCGCCGGCAACAACTGGGCCAAGGGACACTACACAGAAGGCGCCGAGCTCGTCGACTCAGTTCTTGACGTAGTACGCAAAGAATCCGAGTCGTGCGATTGTCTACAAGGCTTCCAGCTCACACACTCCCTTGGCGGCGGCACCGGCTCCGGAATGGGTACCCTCCTCATCTCCAAAATCAGAGAAGAGTACCCCGACAGAATCATGAACACATACTCAGTCGTCCCCTCGCCCAAAGTATCAGACACCGTCGTAGAACCGTACAACGCAACTCTTTCAGTCCACCAGCTCGTAGAAAACACAGACGAAACATACTGTATCGACAATGAGGCTTTATACGACATCTGCTTCCGCACCTTGAAACTTTCCACACCCACATACGGTGACTTAAATCACTTGGTGTCCCTCACGATGTCCGGTGTCACAACTTGCCTCAGGTTCCCCGGTCAGTTGAACGCAGATCTTCGAAAACTGGCTGTGAACATGGTTCCTTTCCCACGTCTACACTTCTTCATGCCCGGATTCGCTCCTCTCACATCACGTGGAAGCAGACAGTACCGCGCTCTCACCGTCCCAGAACTCACTCAACAGATGTTCGACGCCAAGAACATGATGGCGGCATGCGATCCTCGTCACGGCCGCTACCTCACCGTCGCCGCCATCTTCCGTGGCCGCATGTCGATGAAGGAAGTCGACGAGCAGATGCTCAACATCCAAAACAAGAACTCGTCGTACTTCGTCGAATGGATCCCCAACAACGTGAAGACCGCCGTGTGCGACATCCCACCCAGAGGTCTCAAGATGGCCGCCACCTTCATCGGCAACTCGACCGCCATCCAGGAGCTGTTCAAGCGCATCTCAGAACAGTTCACCGCTATGTTCAGGCGCAAGGCTTTCTTGCATTGGTACACTGGTGAGGGTATGGACGAGATGGAGTTTACCGAGGCGGAGAGCAACATGAACGACTTGGTCTCCGAATACCAGCAATACCAGGAGGCCACCGCCGACGAGGACGCCGAGTTCGACGAGGAGCAGGAGCAGGATGTCGACGAACACTAAATACTAAAAGCACATAACGTAGTGAACAATGCCATTATAAAGTCGCGTTACATTCGGTAACATTGATTACGTTATATTCAGAACCTGCTTTCTAACTTTTAACAGAATGCACGATTTAACAAAACACCTATTTAGTACGAAAATTGAACCTGGATTTGACAACATTCGTATTGGAGTAATACATTCCTTGTGATTCCAATAAGCCTCATTGAGAGCTAGATCTGAATTCTTTAAAGGCTGATCTAAAGTAGACATTCTTTATGTATTTATATTGTTTGGACGACTCAGTTGGCCAAACGTAAAATGTCGGCTTCAATAACAGAAGTTTTATTACTATTATAATTGTTTCGAACAATAATTTAATGTACAGACAGCGTGTTTGGTGAGTGTGATCGGCATACATTTGACAGTACGCATGGCAAAAACTTTTGTCTTTTGTCTGAAAAATATTAAGACGAATTCGAAACGAATTCAAAAACCGTGCTTCCGAATGCAAAAATGTTTTTTTTTTTATTTATTGACATTGCCGGGCACACTTTCCTCGTACCTAATGTAATAAAGATTTTTATTTATTAAAAACATAACCGTCTTTTAATTTTCGCTCATTGCATAATATATGATATGAAAAATTTGATTACGTGCTGAAAATTTTAAAAATTACGCCATGATTTTAATTATAAAAGTATTAATAATCTGTGGCAAAAATTATAAACCTGTTTCTGTGCAACTAGGGTTACCAGATGAAAAAATTAAAAGTCCGGAGAAGAGGCCTGATTTCCATTTAAAAATCCTGAGATTGTTTTACAGTTTGAGAAGAAAACCTTACTTAAAAAGGTATCTTCACATATTAAGTATGATAAAACTGTTTAAGTACCTACTTGGATAAATAAGTTTTGATTTTAATTGTGGAATTATTACCAAAGGAAAATTATTTTTAGTTTATTTAACTTTTTATTAAGAGATCTTTTAAAATGTAAGCTGTATTATATTGAAAGTTCTAAAAATCCTGAGATTTCATGAGATTTGCAAAATCCAGCCGCAATCCTGAGAAGAGTCTAAAAATCCTGAAATCTCAGGACAAATCCTGAGATATGGTAACCCTATGTGCAACACAGTCCACCTGGTGATATCTATTTCAGGCAATACCTACAATCAATTTCAGACAAAAGAAACCACAGATGGGTAAAGAACCTAAAATGTACCTAAAATTATATTCTCTCTGTTCTTTTTTTTTTCAAAGTGGAACACATCAGTGATTGAACTATTCATCGATAGAAATAGGAAACTCCCACGCAGTGAAAGGAGTAGTAGTAATAGTTTTTGTAGACTTTATTAAATGAGTATATAAAAAGAGAGAAAAGGTCCCATTTTCAGCAATTTGATATTCGTTTTAATGAATTGGATAAACATATAGAAGATATAAAACAAAACGATTATTAATATACTTATCAATAATCGATGTGGTACGGTACCTATTAACCTAATCAAGGTGTACCTATATCATATTCACCCACGTTGAATATAACATCATTGCCCGGTAAGCACATGAAACCTATCACTATATCAACCTAACCAGATACGAAAATGTAGTCGTCATTTCAAAGTAACATTAAACTTAATTTCAAATTCAAAATAAAATTAAAAAAAAAACATTCAATAAAATTGATCTGTGTATAGTATTTTTTATTATTTAACTTAGGTAGGTATTCCCAACAGCTGACTGAAAGTAGCTCACGCTATACCTTCGTTTCTATATTTAGAAATGCACTTATAGGAAGTAGCCGGTCGCGAGTGGCCTCCGTCCACACATAACTCCTTTGTATGTCGTAATTTGCCAATAGAAAATGTGTTGGCAAGGCTCTCCACAAACTGGTTATCAGCAAGATAACAGAGTGATGTCAGCCTTATTCTTGTAAACAAACGCTTATGTCATACATTGGTGCGAGTTTGTAGTATTTAGATCACGTGGTTCCTCACTAAAGGTGATCGTTGCAGTTTCAAAATGGCGCCTGCATTGGGGTCAATGCGTTCTCGCGCGCATTTACTTAATTAAATTAGAAGTACTATTTCAATTTACAGCGAATACAGCCTAATTTTCGGATAGGTTTAAGTAAACACTTTACTCGTTCATTTAATTTTCTCTTTTAGCTTCGATTTTTTCTATATTTTTTTTTATTTTATAGATAAGGGTAACAAACGAGCACACATAACACCTGATGGTTAGTGGATACTGTGGCCCATAGACATCTACATTGCAGATACTTTGTCACCACTAAGGACTAAAATTGAATGCCTCGTATCTAGTAAAAAGGGTCTCCGATTCTCTACACTCACCATACGATACACAGCGCATTAAGCAGCTATTTTACGCTGGTATTTTACGTGATAGAGCCATGCTGCAGCTATGTTGTGGTTGCAGCACGAATAAGTCGGCTCGTCCGGGGTGGGACCATGCTCTCACAGAATACCAGCGTAAAATAACAGCTTAATGCTGCTGTGTTTCGTATGGTGAGTGTAAAGAACCAGAGACCCTTTTTACTGGAAACGAGGCATTCCATCTCAGTCCACAGGGGTGACGACTCATATGTAGATGTCTATGGGCTACAGCATCTGCTTACCATCAGGTGGACTGTGTGTTCGTTTTTCACCCTATTCTATAAAAATTAAAAAATTGTATTCTGTGACAGCGTGGACCCGTTCGTGCTACAATTATAATATAGTGGCAGCATGACTCTACCCCGTAAAAACTTCCCGATCACAACTTAATAATATAATAAATAAACTGCGGTTACCTAACGCGTGGCAACTATGGCAGTATCCATCCTGTGAGGCAATGTATGGGGGAGGCCTATGTTCAGCAATGGACTTTTTATAGGCTGTAATGCCTCTATAGAATGATGAATAACATACAGACGTGTGGCGGCACGGAATGTGCATAGCATGCACATGACCGACTTTATAAGATAATATCTGACACAAGCGACCTACTTTACTCTGTTTGGTTGTAGTGCATGCTATAATTATATTTCATTTATTTATTTACGACGAGGACGCCGAGTTCGACGAGGAGCAGGAGCAGGATGTCGACGAACACTAAATACTAAAAGCACATAACGTAGTGAACAATGCCATTATAAAGTCGCGTTACATTCGGTAACATTGATTACGTTATATTCAGAACCTGCTTTCTAACTTTTAACAGAATGCACGATTTAACAAAACACCTATTTAGTACGAAAATTGAACCTGGATTTGACAACATTCGTATTGGAGTAATACATTCCTTGTGATTCCAATAAGCCTCATTGAGAGCTAGATCTGAATTCTTTAAAGGCTGATCTAAAGTAGACATTCTTTATGTATTTATATTGTTTGGACGACTCAGTTGGCCAAACGTAAAATGTCGGCTTCAGTAACAGAAGTTTTATTACTATTATAATTGTTTCGAACAATAATTTAATGTACAGACAGCGTGTTTGGTGAGTGTGATCGGCATACATTTGACAGTACGCATGGCAAAAACTTTTGTCTTTTGTCTGAAAAATATTAAGACGAATTCGAAACGAATTCAAAAACCGTGCTTCCGAATGCAAAAATGTTTTTTTATTTTTATTTATTGACATTGCCGGGCACACTTTCCTCGTACCTAATGTAATAAAGATTTTTATTTATTAAAAACATAACCGTCTTTTAATTTTCGCTCATTGCATAATATATGATATGAAAAAATTGATTACGTGCTATAAAATTTTAAAAATATCGCCATGATTTTAATTATAAAAGTAATAATAATCTATGGCAGAAAAGAAAGAAAACCTGTTTCTGTGCAACACAGTCCACCTGGTGATATCTATTTCAGTCAATACCTACAATCAATTTCAGACAAAAGAGACCACAGATGGGTAAAGAACCTAAAATGTACCTAAAATTATATTCTCTCTGTTCTTTTTTTTTTCAAAGTGGAACACATCAGTGATTGAACTATTCATCGATAGAAATAGGAAACTCCCACGCAGTGAAAGGAGTAGTAGTAATATCTAGTTTTTGTAGACTTTAATTTAAACGAGTAGGTATATAAAAAGAGAGGGAAGGTCCCATTTTCAGCAATGGGATATTCGTTATAAACTGAATTGGATAGAAGATATAAAACAAAACGATTATTACCTACATACTTTTATAGTGGTAGAGCCACGCAGCAGCTGTTGCTGTCGCACGGATGGGCCGGCTCGAACCGGGGTGGTACCACGACCTCACAGAAAACCAGCGTGAAGTAGAGGTTTAACTCTGCGTTTCGCTTGGTGAGTGCAGGTGGCCGGAGGCCCCTTTTACTGGAAATGAGGCATTCCATCTTAGTCCTCACGGGTGACAACGCATCTACATTTTGATTTGTAATAGAGGATAGATGTAGATGTCTATGGGCCGCAGCAACCACTTACCATCAGGTGGACTGTGTGCTCGTTTGTCACCCTTATCCTATAAAAAAAATACTTATCAATAAACGATGTGGTACGGTACCTACTAACCTAATCAAGGTGTATATCACATTCACCCACTTTGCCAGGCCAGCACATGAAACCTATCACTATACCAAGGTTGGTACACCAACTTACAAAGGTAGAACCAGATACGAAAATGTAGTCGTCATTTCAAAGTAACATTAAAATCTTTATTTTAAATGTCAAATTCAAGGTAAAATTAAACGAAACCTTTAATAAAATTGATATCTGTATTGTATTTTTTTTATTAATTTAACTTATTCCCAACAGCTGACTGAAAGTAGCTCACGCTATACCTTCGTTTCTATATTTAGAAATGCACTTATAGGAAGTAGCCGGTCGCGAGTGGCCTCCGTCCACACATAATAACTCCTTTGTATGTCGTAATTTGCCAATAGAAAATGTGTTGGCAAGGCTCTCCACAAACTGGTTATCAGCAAGATAACAGAGTGATGTCAGCCTTAAATTCTTGTAAACAAACGCTTATGTCATACATTGGCGCGA